CCTCCCGCCGGCCCGCCCCGCGCTCCTCATTGGCCGCTGCAGTCCTCAACGCCCCGCCCTCCGCTGCTACCGCGTCCCGCCCACCGGTGGAGGGGGCGGGACTTAGCAAAGGCCCCGTCTCTTAAAGAGGCCGCGGGCATCACGGCGGTGGGTGGGGGTCCGCAGCTGAGAATACGCCCGCCCCCGGCGGGGACTCCTAAGAGGGACCCCCTCTACTCCGCCCTGGTGAGACCACATCTGGAATATTGCATCCAGTTCTGGGCCCCTCAGTTCAAGAAGGACAGGAACTGCTGGAGAGAGTCCAGCGTAGGGCTACAAAGATGATGGAGGGAGTGGAGCATCTCCCTTATGAGGAGCGGCTGAGGGAGCTGGGGCTCTTTAGTTTGCAGAAGAGGAGACTGAGGGGAGACCTCATTCATGTTTATAAATATTTAAAGGGTGAGTGTCACGAGGATGGAGCCAGGCTCTTCTCGGTGACAATGATAGGACAAGGGGTAATGGACACAAACTGGAACACAGGAGGTTCCACTTAAATTGGAGAAGAAACTTCTTCTCAGTGAGGGTGACAGAGCCCTGGACCAGGCTGCCCAGAGAGGTTGTGGAGTCTCCTTCTCTGCAGACATTCAAAACCCACCTGGACGCCTTCCTGTGTAACCTCATCTGGGTGTTCCTGCTCCGGCAGGGGGATTGGACTGGATGAGCTTTTGAGGTCCCTTCCAATCCCTAATGCTCTGTGATTCTGTAACCCACTGCCACCCCGGGGTGGAAGCAGGCTGGAGCCAGGCTCCAGGTGCCCTCTCATGAGTGCAGTAAGAATCTGGAGCCCTCCCAAGATACCCAAACCCCACCCAGAGCCACCTCCAAGACCCCTCCCTCCAGCTTTCCTCCCCAGGCCAAGAAGCAGAGTAGTCCCATGGGTGCTTCAGCTTCTCTTTATTGATGGATACTTGTGCTCTACCACCCCAGGGGTGAGGGCTCCGAGGTAGGGGGCACACACAACTAACACAGAGTGCGAGGGGAGCACGGGAAGCTCTGCGCAAAGATGGGGGGACACTACTCCCTCTCCTAAAAAAAATAACCAGCGTGAAGGGGGTGGATTTGGTCTGTGGGGAAGAGGGGTTCTGGAGAGGAGGAAGGGGAGTAGCAGTTTCCCTGGAGCAAACAGCAGGACTGTCACCCACCTGTCAGCTGTCCCCCCCATGACCCCAAAACAAGGCAGGGAAAGGGACATTTCACACCCTGAGGACAGTCACTATGACAAGAAAATAAAAAAACTAAACGCTTTTAAGTTTGTTTTTTTTTTAGTGATTTAAGGTCTTCCCCCCGCTGCTGCTGCACTTGGGCAGTGTTTATCAACCTACAGTCTAGGGACAAGGAGGACATCGCAAGCGATGGCTGCTCTAACACTGGGAGTGGGGGGAGCAGAGGGTGAGGGGGAAACGGGGGCGCCAGCAGGAGCAGGGCACTCAGGGAACGGGCACCACGCGCATGGTGTTGGTATAGCCAGAGCCGGGGCGCCAGCCCGTCAGCACGATCACCAGGTCTCCACTCTTGAAGAACCCACGCGCTTTGCCTAGAAGAGAGGGGAACATTACCACGACAGTGACACCACTTGGCACCTTGGTAACCCCCAAAATCCTCATCTGAGGTGTTCAGGATGCCCACACCCCCCCATCCTGCTCCCTGGTGAGGCAGGAGTGGCATCACTCACCGACATTCATGCCCAGGTTGACACGGAGGTCCACATCTTCTGCCCAGGCGTCGTGGGCCGGTTCTTTGCAGAGGACAGGGAAGATGCCCCGGTAGAGGTGGGCCTGGCGTGCAGTCTGGTCGTTACGGGTCACAGCGATGATGGGAGCCCGCGGGCGGTATCGGGACACCAGGTGTGCCGACCTAGGAGGAAACCAGGAGGTGAAGCAACTGCAGTACAAACACAGCCGCCCAAGGAGGAAGCTGGTGTATGGCCAAAGGGAGCACAAGTGGCGGCAAGGTTTGCCTGTCACCCTGGAGGGACATCAAGGCTGACCACAGGAGATATTGGCAAGAGCCAAGCTCACCAGCGAGCCTAACTCTCACTTAAGCAACTGGGAAGACCACCCCTTGGCGACAGTCTCTGCTCTGGTCTTGCGGGGTGGGGAAATCACCTCATCTGTAAGTTTAGGAAGTGCCATCTGCATGTTTTGGCCCCAGAAACAAGCCTTTATTTGTCCCCGTTGCTACGCTAAGGTGGCGAGACGCCATCTATGCCGGGCTCCGCAAGCAGCCCTCAGCATCTCAGCAGGGTCCCTGCAAGCTCCCCGTTTCGAGGAGCTCCCAGTTTATGGGATGGAAAGAGCTTGGCCAAGGAAGAATCCATTTGCCTCCCAGCCACGTTCACCTGTAGAAGCCAGCAACCAGACCGGTTCCTTCACACCAGCCTTCACTCTTGCACCCAACAGGGAGCAAGTGCAACCCAGGCCAAAATTTATACTGGGAAGTTGGGCACAGAGGCCTTAAAGCAGCAAGCAGCACACCCCGGGGAAGGAATATGGCTTCCCCTTTCCTGGGCATTACTCACAGAGGGCATCTGCAAATAAATGAAGATTAAAACCATGACATGTACAGCTCCACCAGCATGCCAGTATCTCCACTAGCTTTTGCAGCCTAGTTTAGTGGAGCCAAACTCAGCAACATTCAAAGATTGCTGCTTAAAGCAAGCTTAAAGCAAGCGGTAGCCATCTGCTCGAAGCACCCAAGCACACGTGCCAGCGCTCAGACAATCCTTCCCGTGCTGTCCAAGAAGCCTCCCAGCAGCTCCAGGAGATGCAGGTACTCAACAGGCTGTAACAGAATCCACAGCTAAAAATATTCAAATATCAGAGTTCAAATCCCTTTAAAAAGGTCAAGTGTAAGACTAGGACCTTTCACAAAGAAACATTAGAAGCACAGAAGTGTCCGGAAACTTAGCGCTCCTCATCTCTGCAGAAAGTGGCTGCTTCAACATCACTTTAAGCTGTAAGTTTTGGTGCAGGATTCACCCATGGTCCAGATCTTCAGAGCACATGATCACATTTCTGCTGCTGCACTATTGCTTTGGTCCGAATCCAGTGCAAGAAATTCAGATACTCTTCCAGAAAGCAGTCTGAGACTTATGGTCGGACGTGCTTTTTCTCTGGATGGGAGAAGCCAACCAGCGAGGCTCCAGCTCCCTTTCCACACCTGGAAGAGCGCGTCTCTACTCGACACTTGTCACCATCGCTGGACGGAAATCCCATAAAATACAGAATGCCCACAGTGCTGTCTCTCACCTGCAGCCAAGGTGCTGAGCTCACCTGAGTGCAGGCAGCTGCCGGTCCATTCAGTGAGATTACTCACAGGCAGGCAACGAAATAAAATCAAAAATAAAACTTCCAGCACTTCAAGTTACCCTGTGTAACAATTCTAGGCTAAGCAGCCCCTCTTCACCCCTTGAGCTTAGGCAAGCGGGGCTGATACTTAAACATTCAGCAAGGGACCAATAATTTGGATGCTACGAAAGGCCAAGACCTTGAGTTAAAAGAAAACGAAGTTCTGGATCCACTGAACTTCTGCCTTACTGTCAAACCGAGGATTTCTTGCCAAGAAGTTTGAATTCAAGCTGCAATGCTTATTTTCCCTTGACTCTTCCAGCCAGCGCTGCTGGCAGAGGTGCCATGGGGAGGCAGGGCCCAGCGCTGGTGCCACGCTGGCAGAGGCAGGCGGAGGAACTCGGCAGTTACAGGTGTGCAGATGTTTTGAGATGTCTGCCCATTTCCTGAGGAACTGGCTCCCGGTCACAGCCAAAACCCCAGCTTCACTGTCACGCCTCTGGTCTTTCAAAGCCATCTTTCTGCAAGTCTCCTGCCCCAACCCTGTCAGGAAGCGGGCTTGACCTGAGGGAACCTGTCACCTCCTACCTTCCAGACTTGGTGAGGACAATAATGGCCCCGCTGCAGCACTTGAAGGACGCTTCCACAGCGCCAACAGCAGCGGCCTCCGTGGGATCGCAGTTGAGGGAAGTCAGACGACGCAGTTCCTCAAATAACTGCCTGTGAAAGATAGCGGCTTCGGCCTCCCGGGCGATCTATAAGAGCAACACGCGTTCGGGAAGACAACACTCACATCAGTCGCTCAGGGCGGCACAGGGTAAGGTGAGGTGCTCTGCCAGCAAGGTGTCACCCAAACCTTCAGCTTTGGAAGTGACGAGTTACCAATCAGCAAGCCCAGATTTAGTTCTGCACGCTGGGGTGATGGCCGCAACCCTCAGCCACCCAAACAGCGCAGCCTGAGAGAAACCCTGCAATTCTCAAGGCTTTTTTTTCCCCCAGATTGGTGGCACCTGCTGAGTCACCTCACCCTGCCGAGCCCACACTCAAGTGACATCCATGCCAACTGCCAGGCACTCTCGCTCTGCTCCTGCCTACCTGGAGTCCCTCCCTGCCACAGAGAGCTCAGACCACAGTGGTTATGCAAGGCTGATACCATAAGCAGCGAGCTGTTCGCTAAGTATTTGCAGTGTTAGACCAGACCGTGTTTGTACTCAGGGGAAGCAACTGGCACTAAGCCTGCTCTCTGAGCCCTACCTGCCAGAGTCAGACAGAACTATCAGGGCTGCAGCTAAGCACTTAAAAGAGGCCTCCACTGCGCCTACTGCCATGGCATCGGCAGGGGCCCTGTTGTTAACATTGAGGCGTAAAATTTCTTCGAAGAGCGGACGATGAAACATTGCAGCCTCAGCCTCACGAGCGATCTGCAGGCCCGAGTGAGAGGGAAGGAGGAAAAAAAGAGGAAAGAAGGAAAGATACACCAGAGGAACATGAGATCACGTTAATTTGCTTAATCATCATAGTAACGCATGCAAGAGGATACTTAAGGTCAGGCTGTGAAACTTTTTGGCTCTCAGGTTGAGTTTGCTGAATGCAGCCCAGTCTAACCACACCAGTTAACTGATGGGGCCCTGGTCACTGGGCAGGCATTTCCAAAGTGGCACTCTCACTAGATTTTGGAGTCCTTTCAGAGCAGACAAACAAATTGCTTTTCAAGGACCACAGCACGCCGGCTCTAAGTCACATTGCACTTCGCAACTGCTTATTACTTCATTGAGAGACTCTTATGGCACCTACTTGCCTTCAACTTCTCTTTACAGAGCCAAAATGCAAGCAGGGCATTTTTAACAGCATCCTTATAGTCAGGAGACTGTCTCACTAAGCTTTATTAGATTTAGTTTAATTTGAGAGCCAATAAAGGTTTAGTTTAACTTGAGAGCCAACGGTTTCACCACCAAGTGTTGTACCAACTTATTGGGAAATAAACAGGAACAAGCCTTCCTTATAGGGTTGTTGCACCACATATGCTGGTGTTTGTAAAGCACCGGGCTTGGACAGCCGAGAGCTGTAGAGGCACAATGCAGGGCTTTCTGTTCAGGCCAAGCATTTGCAACGTTTGTGAAGTGTTCATCCTAGGGTGCTGGGAATCACTCTCATTTAAAGACAATTCTCAGCTCAGAGGGCTGCATTAGCCCTTGACAACCAGATAAAGAAGGCTTGCAGAGACTAGAAAAGCATGCAAAGGTTGATCATCTTTTCAAGGACAGCTTCATCCACTTAACTCTGGACAGTGAGCAGCCACCTCACAAAGCATGATGAGCTGATGTTTAAGCAGAGACTGAAGTGGCACGATAGTGAAAGCTTTGTAGTTAGACCCCTGCCAAATAAGAATTTTGCTACTCCAGTGTTAATGAATTATTTTACATGACACTAGGAATTATCCCTCTTCCACAGATATCAGTTTAAGCCAAAGCAGTTAAGTATCTTATGTCTAAAAATATCAGGACACATGTGACAGGCCATAATAGCAGCTCAGTGCCAGCTCTGCTCCTAAAGCAGTCTGGTTTGTGACTGCTGCCTTTACACTTGCTCTTAAGATAAAACGGAAACATTGGCCTCAAAACACTTCCTCCAAACACCAGAGCTGTTAGCCAGGTGGTTTGCCTTCTGATCCTGGTCCAAAGGCAGGCAGCTCTGCTTAGCACGCAGAGTAGACCTGAGTTTAGAGGGAAGTCTGCATTCCCCAATTTTAAGAAAACACATGCATACACATGTCTGCTTTGACAGTGGCTGCAGGAAGGCACAGCAATTCTGGACTCCACATCACAGCTGGTTTTACTCATACAGGAATGACCAGAATGCTTCCAGTTGGTATGCAGGTGGAGACACAGTGGGAGAAAGGAAAATGGAGGGGTGTTTAAACCTTGGTCCCATTAGACAGCATGGCCAGGGCAGCATCTCAAAGTAACTGTGGTTCATGAACCGGAATGGGAAGAAAGCCCACTCCCTCAGTCAGGGAGCAGCCTGACCGCTATTTGGAAGCTTGCTGATTAACTCAGGCACGTGGCATTTTTGCCACAGCAATGTCAGCTACTAAAGAGCAAGCTCGCTTCTACGAGGCTCTCTGGAATGGGATTGCTAAGAGACTGCCACACTGCAGGGACAGGCTGGGCACAGGCAGGTCAAGCATTTCAGAGAGGTGCAAGGACATCGCACAGCACAGACCCTGCCCTCAGCATCACAGCCCACATTTGCTGGCTGCACCGTGCTACAGAGGGAGCTTTACCTGGAATGGTCCTGGAGCAAACACAAACCCAAACCAATACCAATTTCAGGCCAGGGAATGCATACAGGAGCTGCTCTTTAGCAGCTGTTCTCTCCCCACTCCCTGGCCACTTCAGTTGGAAATAATCACCTGCTCTGGCCATGCTGCAGACTTTCAGATTGTGGCTATTCAGGGAATTATTGCTGGGCAGGGCTTCTCTTGACTAACACCACATCAATTAGCTCTGATGAAACACCCTGACTGCAGAGGGACATGCTTCTACCATCACAGAGTTGGCACCTTGCTGCTTATGCCACATTACATTAAATAAAGAGAATTGGCATTTGCTCTGCTGCACAGAGGAGGTTAAAGCCTTCAGTATTTCTACAGGGGCCTGGCAGAGCAAGCACCGCTGTCCCAAAGATCTGCAGGGAGAGGGAAGGGCATGCACTGGATCCCAGGCTCAGGCTACAGGTACAACACAACCTGCCTGAGTCTGAGCATTAAGGCCAGAAGGGAAACCCAGGTGCAAGGTTTGCTGCAGCAAGTTTCCAACTCCTGGCATAACATCAACTCTTGTGATTTAGGGGGTGAAAAAACCTGTGGAAGAACCTTTTAGGTACAGCATTAGCATTCAGCCCGTAAACCTGCAGTCACTGCCTAGTAATCATCAGGCCATATTCTGCATTTACCACGTGCAAAAGACACCACTCTATATTGACCAGGTAAAGGTAAGAGATATTTACATACTGCACTGCAAACAAAAACTAGCTGAGTTAATTAATATTATAAAACCCAAATTGCAAATAAAACTGGTGAGAGTTAAAACTGGTTAGAGTTGTCACTGCTGCAATTCCCAGCACTGGTAACTGGGGAACCAACACTTGTAGATACTTGGCATCAGGCTTTTTAGTCAGCTGAAACACGAGCTGGGTGAACTCGAAGCAGAGCAGAGGTTTCTGGCAGTTCAGGCATGTAAAAATACAGTGCTGTCAGTACTCGTGCAACAAACACCCTCCACACCAAGCACACCAGCCGCTGAATGCAACGGCACTGTAAATCAGACCCACGAGCCTCCCCCACCCCTGCCACAGAGGAGTCAGCCTTGCATTATCTAGAGATAAACTGCTTAAGCAGTTCCTTGACCCTGGAGAAGTTTAAGGAATTTCAGATGCCAAAACAAGTAGGGCATTTGAAGAAACTCATACCAAGGTAACAGCACAACCCCCTTTTGCTTAGGGCAAGGTAAGGTTAACAGGAAAATGCAAAGTTTTACATCTCAGGGCATTGCAGAGCAGTTGCCAGCTCTGCCAGGGCAAAGGCAGTACTCACAGCGTGCTGCATGCGAACTGCCTCAAGCGGGTAGTCTCCCTTAGCAGTCTCTCCAGACAGCATGATGCAGTCCGCTCCATCCAGGACAGCGTTAGCAACATCGCTGCCCTCAGCACGGGTTGGGCGAGGTTTCTTGATCATGCTTTCCAGCATCTGGAAGATAACAAATCCAAATATATCAAGACATTGCAGAAGGAGCCAGCTGCTTTTTCACTAGGGCACCTCAACGAGCTTGAAGTTTAAACATAGGGCTGAAGACAGGATGCAGCCTAAGGATTCCAGGAGAAAAAGAGTTCTCTTGTGGGTACAGGACAGAGAGGAGCCTGGTCCCTCACCAGCTTTAAATGTAAAGTGTCTACCAGTGAGAAAAAAACGCTCATTTTGTACCTGTTCTATATCACTCCTTTTCCAAGGAAATTTAACCCACACAGCTTTTAACCCACAGCCACAGCTCCCCACTGGGCAAACATCCCTCATTTCGGGGTGAAACACCACCTGAGGCAGCATTTCAGTCACAATACAGGAAGCACATGCTCCTGTAAAACCAGAACCTTGTCTGATAACTACTGTATAGAGCCAGTTTTTGCTTCCACAGCCCACGCACAGAGCAAGCACAGCCAGGAAAACAATCCTCCCAGTGCCCAAGGACTGTCTGTACGTGATCCCCACTGGAAAGGGAGCATCAGCTCTCTCTCTGACTAGCAGCTCCCAGAATAACGAGAAGGATCTTTCACTCAGTTTTTTCTGACATTACAAGATTCCAGGGCAAAGCATAAGTGACTTTTTTTTTCCCCTCTAATTTGTTTAGTCAGTCCAGAAGGCTGATACTGCATGAAGTTTTGAGGGGTAAAACCTTCAGTAGCCACACAATAGGTCCTGTGACCTTACTGGGAAGATCCCAAATGTATCTTTTAAGTGTCTCAAGATGAGCTGTTCAAGCCTCTCTGCTCCTGGCATGTCACTCTAGCCAACGCCATCAAGCCATGACAACTACTGAGGTCCACGCCCTGCCAGTGGCAAGCTGGCATCACATTTCCAGTACCTGAGTGGCACAAATGATAGGTTTGCCAGCCCTGTTGCAGCGCCCAATCATCATCTTCTGGGCAAGGAAGACTTTCTCAGCAGGGATCTCGATTCCCAAGTCACCACGGGCCACCATGATGCCATCACTGGCCTCCATGATCTCATCAAACCTGCCAGCAAGAGAAGAGGTTGGTTAACCCTGTTTTTATTGTAAAGCACCTTCCTGTCTGTTCTGTCCTCCCCCTCTAAAAGGGAGCATCACTCTGGAGCACGATACACTGCAACGCTACGGGCATGCGGCCTTTCCATGTGGTCTTTTGGTATCCTGCAACACCATGGTCGGAAGAAGAAAAACAAGACCAACATTTAGCACCAATATATATGCATATATGTAAAGTGCTAGATATAAAGCTTTCTAAAGCCATACAAGGAGAGTGAGGGGCCTGTGAGAGAGGGGCCCATGATTTGAGATATTTTAGTCTGATAGTTTGTCACAGGCTTAGCAATTCTCACACATGAACTCACCAATTTGCAACAAGAACACCAAGTTTGCTCATGTTTAAACTCACACTCACTACAAGAAACACCACAGATTTTTTGGGGATACAGGAAGACCATGGCACTGTCCCCACAAGAGATAGGGCACATGACAGTTACACAACCCGCTGCTCATACCACAGCTCCATCAAGTCCCATGCACATGGTGTTAAGTGACAGCTTGCTCTACCTCCCTGTTACTCAGGCTAGCAAGCTTGCTACAGCTGGCAAGCCAGAGAGCAGGAGTCCAGACTACAGCGTGAAGGGGCTGCATGTTCCTCCGTTGACACAGGGTGACAAGCCTGAAGTGCCACCTGCACAAAGCTCACCTGCGCACACCCTCGTGGTTCTCGATCTTGCTGATAATCTTGATGTTCTTTCCCTTTTCCCCTAGCACCTTCCTGACTGCATGGACATCAGCAGCTTTGCGGATGAAGGAAGCAAACACCATATCCACGTTCTGCTCCACGCCGAATTTTAGGTCCTGAATGTCCTTCTCAGAGACCGCAGGCAGGTCGACTGCAGCACCAGGCAGGTTCACTCCCTTCTTGCTGCCGAGCATGCCGCCATTCTCGATCTCCGTCATGACATAGTCCTTGCCTGAAACAGATGTGTTCCCACGGTCAGTGTTTACCAGAAAGCTCCACACTGCCAGCTCCCACACCACCTCCCTGCCCGGGAACAGCAGAGCCAACAGCGACCGCACACGATAAAAAAAGCACACCACCGCTCTCTTCACAGGCTTTATGTAACACAAACTTGCAGTTTACTCACGGGAGCACAACAGACTGGTTTAAAACCACTTCTACGCTGTTCTTGGAGAAGACACCGTTTGTTCCACACAGGAAGCTGACATTGCTCCCTCCCAAAAAAAAGCAACCAGCTTGGACTTCCACACACAGGAGCTCTGGAATACCAAACTGAGCATCCCAATAGCTTCATATCCATCTCCCTGCTACACACACTGGGATTAGAGGTGATACCTCGAGGCTAGACCAGTTTAGGCTGCACAATAAAGGAAGTATTGAGGACCTAACTTTGCCCCTGCGTTGCCAGTTCAAGCTAGTTTTGTCTCTAACTACCAAACTCAGGGTTCATGCTGTAAAACCAGTTAAATCCTGCATTAAAAGTATGAATTAACTTGGCTGAAGTATGAATCAACTAAAAAGACTTTGATCATCAGCACTGCTAAGTCCCTACCACACACTGACCTTTGAAGAGGAGTTTTAGAAACCCAGCTGAAGTTAGTTTTTGGGAACTTACTAAAACTGGAGAAGAGAAAGTTTCACTCAGTCTCACTTCAGCATTGAGAACCACACACTTTTCTTTAATACAAAACTGCAAGCTAAGAAATAGTTATTGGAGGAAAAGCACAAATATACTCCAAGGAAAAACCAAACAGGCACAGCTAGAATGGTTGTTACCCACCTTTCTCCTTAACCAGCAAGGAAATCAGACCATCATCCACATAGATTTTGCTGCCAACATCTACAACCTTGATGAGATTCTTGTAGTCCACCCACAGCACGTTCTCATCGCATTTCTCCATGAAGGCATCATCCAGGGTCACTTTGAGCGGTGCACCCTTCTTCAGCTCCACTTCTGCTGTGCCACTCTGTGTGTCAAAACAAGAGTAAAAAAAAATCAGCAAAAAAAAAAACCAGCATGCAGCCAGCTCCCAGCCAGCAGCAGTTCATCAAAACTTTTGGTAGTTGGTTCATTAACTTGTTCCTAGAGACGAGGAGGCCACAGGTCTAACAAAGTACCTGGTCTCATGCAATGAAAAGAAGTGGGAAAGGAAAAAAAAGAGCAACTTACTCCCTTAATGAGTCCGGTTCGGATTTCAGGTCCCTTGGTATCCAGTGCAATAGCCACAGGTCTGTAGGTGATGGGATCAGAGGCAAAGCTCTCTGTAGCTTCTCGCACATTCTTGATTGTGCCCTCATGATACTGGTAAGGAAAAAGAAGTCGGAAATGTTCAGGCAATTTGTATTCAGAAGAGTGCTTCCAAAAGCTTTGCTGAACATCTGCCTGTTCAACATGGAGGAACATCAAGAGATGGACAATTATGTGTGTGGAAATACCCCTGAATGCCATGAGAATGTCACAGCCAAGCGACTGCCACACACAGCTGCTCTCCTCCTTCCAGTGCACAGAAGAGAGGATGCCATCCTCTACGCCCCTCACTCCTCCACAGACTTCTGGCCTGACCCTTCTTATAAGTTCCACAGGTGAGCAACTGGCTTAAATTTAACTCTGGCTTAAATTGCCCCTAAAGATAAAGGATTTGCTAAGAGGACGTGATCCATTTAAGTATTTACATGTTGTTTTGAGAGCCAAAGGAATCACAGACAGAAGTTCAAGACTCCAGCGCTCTCAGCTTCCAAATTTTCTTGTGTACAAAAGCATTTCACGAACACTGCCAGTTTTGGCACAGATAATTCTGTGGGTAAACTCTCATCCCAACTACCTCAAACAAGCTACAGATGATCAGCAGATCAGTTTACCGATCTTGCTCAAACAACATTAAGAGATAACCTTGAGTGCAAGTTGCATAACACTTGACAGACTTTTGCAGATAAGAAGTACCCTTTCCCCTCTCTGTGCCAGACGGGACGTTTGCCCTGACTCACCTGGAAACAGCCAGCTCTCCACACGCCTCGACACGAGGCCTTCACACCAGCTTCAGTGTGGGAAGGATGCTAATCCAGTGCCAGAAAGGTGGGGCCAGAAAACGCCATGCTAAAGTCTGTGAGCATGCCCTTGGCCAGAGATACACCCCAACTGTTAACTGGTATTTAGTTCACTGATCAAGTGTGCATGTTGAGACTGGGAAGGCCTCAACCCTTCTGTGCACCGCAGCACAGACAGCTGCAGTACAGAAAACATGCCTCAACGGTGCCATTACATTTGGCTGGTCCCAGTCACCTGGGATTTTTCCTCTTTAGTTCAATACTGATGACTAACTGGCTCCTAGGGAGTCTGACTTCCTGAAGCGTTATGTATGCAGAAGAGGAATGCTGGCAGAGCTGAAAGTAGAATTATTTTTTTTCTAGATAAAGAGGTGGCAGCCAGTTGCTAAAGCACCTCTGCTCACATTGAAGCCCTGTTAAATGCTTTGGAGTGGACACAAGAACCAAAGTGATGGCTTGGTTTCAAAGAAAGCAAGAGTCTGGTTTCAAAAAACCAGACAGATTAAAATGTTGGGGAGATTCCCTGGAAACTGGAGTGTTTCAGAGGACTCAGGAGAGGATTTAAACTTAAAACTGGCTCTGGCCGATAGTCACACAACAGAAGAGGACAGCAAGACCAGACTCTACCGTAACCTAACCTCATCTGTATGAGATGTGCAATTAGACCTCACCCAAAGCAGCAAGCCACAGTCCCTGTCCTCAACCTCAGCTAACAAGTATGCAAACCACAGCAGCAGCTCCACTGGGCAGTAACGGTGAGAAAATTTGTAGTTTCAGCCTGGCCACCAACTCCCTGCCGAGCCACCTGGCCAGGCCCGAGAACCACCCAGCTGCAGGATTTGCCTACTGGGAGGCAAAGTTATCCCACGCTACCCTTTCTTCAGGCAGACTTTGCCAACTGCAGTCTATGCACTGACACTACCCCAGGGTGTTTAGTCAAGGTCCGACAGTTCTGCACAGTTAAGAGTCAGACCTTTTGATTTTGACAGCGCCCTGTGGCCTTTAAAGGCCATGAGGGTGAAAGGCCAAGCTGTTACGTGCTGGGAGGCTCACAGTTCAGTAAGTAAAGCCACCTACAGCTGCTACTGGCTACCATCTGACATTTTCTAAGCTGGAGGGCAGCCAGGGTTAAAAAAAAAAAACCTCAGTGGGAAGGCTAAGGGTGGCATTCTAGGCAACCCGGAATGGGATCCTGGGCACCTCCAGTTATCGCTGAGGATCTCATCTATTTAAAGGAATACGAGCTTGTCTGCCAGTGTTGATTTCTTTTGACCTTACTCTCACAAGCTCACTGCACGACGTCTTGAGCGCCATGATGGTAGCCTCATGGTTGCCAAGAGCACCAAACAAACCCAGGAGTCCAATTCTTCCAGCTCGGCACAGTAATTACTTCACATCACTAACAGTTCTCTTCTGAGACAGGGTTATTCATTGATAGTCTGCTTGCAAAACCCTCAACAATAAAACATGAAGCAAGATGAACCACCACTGGTTGCATATTCCTGCAGAGGTGCATGGAAAAACAAGGACAGACGTTCTCAGCTCCTGCTCTTAACTGAGAAATGGCAGTTTTGCACAGTGAACAGCAGGACATGAAGAACTGAAGGATTTCATGGTAAGAAGTTGGCACACGAGGGTCAAATATCAGTTACCTGGTTCCCTGGTACAGAAGAGGGTGTGGAACCAACTGGTACTGATTTCAAAATGGTTTGAAAAGTGCACGTAAATGTTATCAGCAATCACCAGGCTCAGTATGTACAACTGGCACCCTTTCCCCAAAAGTGGAGCTAAGTTTCACCTTCCCACACCAAGGCTGGTCTGGAGTAAGCTGGATTTCCCTCTTCCGTGACACACGCACAGCCTGGTCAGGGCCTTATCAGCTCAGACCCCACCCTTACCTCATGGGTGCCGTGAGAGAAGTTGAGGCGGGCAACATTCATTCCAGATTTAATCATTTCCTTCAGCTTTTCCACGGTGCGGGAGGCTGGGCCTAGAAGGAAGAAACAGTTTGAATATTAACTTGGTAAAGCTAATGAAATAACCCACACACATTAGTCTGTTTTATGTGGAAAAGGTGTAATGGATACAGACTTAATCAATGCTGAAGCAGCTCATCTCTACAGCAGCAAAGATTGCTTTAACTTGCCTTGGGAACGCAGCAGAACCTGACCAGTTCTGATTTCCCTGGCTGCTGGATTGACTCCTAGCAATAACATGGGTTAGGCAGACATAGGAAAGGCATGTTCTTTCAAGACACAAGTTCAGCCCTGGCAAGGTATGAAAGCTGAAGCCTTCCCACAATTTCCCTAACAAGTTTCACCAACGTAGAGGTTCACAGCTGCAATTCTCTCCTATCTAGGAATCGCCTACCAATGGTGCAGATGATGCCAGTGTTTCTCGCGATGGTTGGCTCCGAGTCGATGTCCAAGCGGCACATGTGCTCCAGGAAGGTGTCTGCCATAGCAGCATGCAGCTGCTGGGTCTGGATGAAAGCAGTCCCCGCATCGTGGTGCTTCGACATGGTCACTGGTGTCCTGTGTCTAGAAGAGAAGAAAGCAGTGCCAGGTTTAGGAATCACTCAGACTTGCTCATCAAGCAGAGACACCAACACACCCACGTGATGAATATGGAGGTAACAAGAAGGCTGCTACTGGGTCAAACTATCTTTATGTTCCTACTTGAGAGTCTTAGATACAGGCAAGACACACTGCTATTGCCATGTCATCCCCCACGTGCACCACCCAAAGCTCACCTGCCTGCTATGCAGATGCTCCCTTCATAGCTTCTCTTCATTGCCAGTCTTCCCCTGGAGCTACACAACGCAACAAAATTCAAGCACTGGAGTGCGTAGGCAGAGATTCTGCCTCCTCCCTCCCAGCTCTCCAGTCATTCCTCCTACAGCCCTCCACTGCATTTCCCATCACAAACTGGGGACCAGGGCAGCTCAGTGCTAGCGTGACTGCGGATACGCTCTTACACAGGCAATCTTCTGCCAAGAAGCGCCTAATCACACCAAAGTCCACCTAAGCTTAAAACCCATCCTTTAAGCCTGTACGAGCGAGTAGACGCAAGTTGATTAAACACACCACCTTGCAGAGAACGCGGAAAAAACTGAAGATTTCTCCAATATGCTCAAGGCTCTTCTTCAAACTGAAGGTGCTGTGGGTCTCCCCTGTCCACCGCACTCCCCATCACCCAGGGAGACAGAAAACCACCGCAAGGTTTAAAACTTGTTATTTTTTTCAAAGTTTGGATAAAAAAATGCCTCTCTGAACTCAGGCTGTGCTGGTGCTCCTGGGTATTTCTAATTGCGCAGCTCAGGCCACAATGCAGTGATTTTGTTCTCAAGTAACAGTGGCAGCTAAAAGCTGTTCGTCCTCTTCGACCTGCCCAGGCTAGACTGCCGGCATTCAAAAAGCCTCTCACAAAAGCATGATGCAAGGTGGCTACCAGCATAGGCAGATCACTAATGAAACTTCAAACAGGGGTCTGACAACGAACTTCACCCCCTGGGCACGCAGGGGATATTCAAAGCAGGCTGCTCTTTTGGCGGCCTTCACATATGGGAGATGCTCATAGAAACACAGGCTGCTGCTCAGCTAAAGGCAGAGGTAGAGCAGGGGCTTTGTTCTGTCTGTAAACAAGAAAAACAATCAATAAATCACAAAATGGTGTTAGCTGTGCACACCACCTAGCTCAAACATATTCAGCTTTGAAACAGAGGCACTAATGAACCCAAACACTGTGTCAAAGCTAGCGGTGCTGGCCATAATGAAGCCGAGCCTGTAAGGACCAGGCTGGGAGATGCCCCAATAGGTTGCCATGTGGCTGCCGGTGCCGCAGCCTCCAACGCTCCTCCCCTTGGCCCCTTCTGCTCCCCACCTACGTGCAGATCGTGCGGATCCTCTTGCAGGCAGCCCTGACTCACCATCGCCTCGCTCCCATGCGGCACAAAGGAGTCAGGGCAGTGAAAACCATAATTTGTCCTGGCAAAGCCTCCTTTCCCTCAGCCCTGCCAGAAGCTGCTGAGTCACCCGAGTCAGTACAAGAAGGTCTGCCCACATAAAAAGCCCGACAAAGTCCTATTATTATAGGAAAATCCACTGGTCAGACCCAAAACATTGTGTTTTAGCCCTCTAACACTTGCTGCCGCATCCTCCAACACCTGCAGAGCAGCATCGACTTCTCCAGATGCCAAGAACAACCCTAAGCTTTTGCTGGGAAATGGCCCTCATGCAAACATGGGTGAGGGGGTCTGTGTAGCTTCTGGGAAGGAGGAACATAAAACCACAGGATCCCGAGGTGGAAACTCCATCCAGAGCATGACTAGGAAGGTTTTAAAAATAGGCAGACAAGTTATCCCTCTCTCTCTCTCATGGAAATCCCCTCCCCTACTCAAGTCATTTGCAAATATAATTTTAAACCCTCTGAAGTCTTCATACATTTATAAAGAGAAATGGGAAGTTTGGTCAGAATTCCCTGCACAAGATTTTCCAGCAGTTCAGTGAGCTCAGAAACAATCAGAGACACTGTGACCTCCTCCAGGGGCAAGCACAGAAACACAGCAGCCAAAAAGTATCCAAAAAAACCCTATCTGCCTGCAGCAGCGTGCCCCACTACCAACAACCTTCACTATTTAATACTTCTTCCTGCCTCCCATTACCATCTATTTACAAAGCATAGACTGAATTCTACTGGAAGGACCAGTCTTATAAATGTAACAGGAACATGTGGTATTTCCCACTACATCAGACTTGCCTCTGTTTAACTTAAAAAAAAAAAAGAGGAGCAAGGACTTCAAGGACACCTGAAGACACAGAGCACCCAGTCTAGACTGAGTGAGGAAGGAGGGGCAGCAATACCCTACAAAGCCTGAGTGTTTCCAGTCCTGAATAAATCTGAATTCCTTCCTCAAGGAATAATGATTAAATGCCCAAGTTTATTACTTGGGCTGCCAGTGCTTCAGGCAGGGCATCCCAAAGACATCTGGCACCTCCCCAGCTGTTGAATGTTCTAGAAAGAGCCGCTTGAGGAGGTCAGGACAGTCAGTTTCGCAGTAGTGAGGTGACTAAGTCCAGCCAGCTCATCCTGAGCTAGGCTGAGAGAAACCCTGAATTCACAGCACCTCAGGATCTGCCCTCGGGGAGGAAGGAGAGGCAGCAGCAACCCTCACCCCACCCCCTCCAGCCTTAGCCATTACAGTGACAAAGGGAAGTGGAAACTGCAGCGGCAGGGACTGTCCCCGGGCAGGATGGCATTAACCACTGCCTCGCCAGAAAAAGATGGTTTAGCGTCTGTACAAGTTGCAGGCTGGCAGCAGGGGATGGTTCTGGTGTTGTTACCTCTGCGGGGCTCAGCCTTGCTTACACAACCTCTCTGACTCTGCAGGACGAGGCTGCTCACGTCCCTGGCCAGAGGCAGAAACGGTTCAAGTTAGCACTTTGAGAAGGGCAGGGTTATGAAACCAGGCAGGCCTTCAGATTCCCAAAAACAGCCTAGATAAACATCAACTTAGTTCATTCCAGGAGCTAAAGGAACTCAACAAAAAAATGCAGCTCTGCAGCACAGCAGGCTTTCACTGAGGCCTGCCAAGCCCCCTCCCAGCGGGGGAGGACAGCACATTCCCCCAGGGCGGCTGCTGCAGGAGGTGGTGGCTGCGCTCTTACATAAGCCCAAGATGGCCACCCCAAAATGCCATCTCCTTTCTGCAAGGCTGGACAGGACCCAGAAGCCACCACCTGCTCTGGCTGTTGGCGATGCCTCCCCGGCTTTTCAGCAAACAAGTTACAGGGGCTGGGAAGGTCAGGCCAGCCCGCACAGCACCGGGTGACAGCTGCACTTTCCCTGTGGATGAGCCCTCAGCTCCACATAGGAGGGTACAGCAGGCAGGAGGCTTAATAAAAAAAATAGATAAGCAGAAGCAACAAGGAAGATTTATCTCAAGTGTATTTGCAATTCAGGCACACCTACCGACTTCACCTTCCAGAGGAAAAGGAGCTTTCCAGCCAGAAACCACCTAGCTGCCGCCTTCAAGGAAACCGTAGAAATTATTTTTGCATTATAAAAAGTTTTTTGGGTTTTTTTTTTTTTTTTACATTTAAATATAACTCTAGGCGGAAGTATAGATCCCCCTGCAGCATCCCCGGCTTCAGGAGGGAGATTTACTGCGCACCACAGCCCTGGGTGGCAGCGACACAGTACTGCAGCCCCATTCCCTACGTGCCATCCATCACCACACGCTGCGGTGGCCACGGCTCCATCTTCTCCCAGGCGAACAAGGGCCAGGGCAGGAGATAAAGGACGAACACGTGGTGTAGCCTGGGAAACGCTTTTCTTTTTTTTCCCCCTCTATCAAATTCAATTATCAGCTCAGTGGGTGGAAAAGGAACTAACTCCAGCGGCGGATTACTCCAACTAACACCAAGAAATTCAGGTTTTCATAAACTTTACAGCTTTGGGGGGGTCAAAGGAGGTAGCAAGCAATAACACAGGCTGTGTCCACAAGCTGGTTATCTAGAAAAAGTGAAGTTTCTCAGACAGGTTTCGCAGGCAATGGTCCCCGCTTCAAACACGTGGCTGGCAGCAGAGCTTCCTGCCTCGGCAGAAGAGGCCCTCATTAATCTGGTGAGGGTTTGGAAATGAGTTGGCATCAGCGCAACCCATGAGGCCACCAAACTCTAACTCTTCTGAATTAATCCAAATTCTGCTTTATAAACGGGATGTCGAACATACCATTATGCTCTCAAGACTGAGGGTTTTTTTTTTTAAGTTAAGACTTCCTGGTTGCACGAGGAGCCTTTGAGCTTCCCTGAAGGTGCCTGGGTCACCAAAAAAACCCTTTTGTCATGCAAACCTTTTGGCCAAGGCAAGTCACGATTAGCAGTCAGAAAGTTAAGCTATTTAACATCACAAAAACCTCCGGGAAACACTGATTTCTGTTAACCTGAGCCTTCCCGATAACCGGTTGCCTTATCAGCGCAAAGCAGTTTTTTTAAGAGATTGCAGCCTACTTTCAGGAAGCCGAGGGGGCAGGCGGGATGCTGCCTTTGTCCGCCGACAAAAGCGCCATTCGCGCCTTGCTTTGAGCACGCTGCAAAAATTTTTGTGGTTTTTTTTTCTTCCCTCCAAAGGACTGCCCAAAATCAACCGGACGCGTTCAGGCAGACGGAATTACGGAAAGAAATGAATTCCCAAGAGGCCTCCCGAGGAGGGAGGGTGGTTTGCAGCATCACCGCTAAGTTTAATGAGCCGTGCGTTAATTAAAGCATCGCCGCGGCTCTTAAGCGAGGGCAGGCACGGGGGTGGGGGGATGAGAAGGGGGCAAGCGAGGCGCTCCGCTCTCTCCTCACTCGCCTCAGCCTCCCGGCAGGCTCCGCTCCAGCACCCCGCCCTCACAGAAAACCGGGGCAAGACATTACAACGTGGGGATGACGGGGGCGCGCACTCCATTTAACCGCTTTTACCGGCACACGCATCCTCCCGCTCCTCTTCCTGGTACTTCACCTCCCCG